GAAGAATTGTATGCATAATGAAGTATGGGGTTATACAGAAATCTTGCCCTTTATTGTTCTTACTATATTTTGACATCATCAGTGATATATATCTGAACAGACCTATGGCGACATAGAATCTATTTGTTGAATGATGTTATGGTGTAACTTTGATTACATAGGGACTAAGGCTTTGTTTTAGATTAGTCTGAGGCTGTGTCCATGGAAATTTTTGCAATCATTTTAAGTTAACTTGATTGTATGATGGGACAGTTGGTAACAAATCATTTGCTTGGTGTGTTATCAAGAATTTATTTGAATATTTTGTACATAATTTTGTCCCCAAAACAATTTTTGTACACATTTAAAATAAATATATGACATGATTATGGCAAGAAAGTGAGTAGCATCAATTTCGCTTGAAGTGATTCTCATGGAACAACTTGTCATAGCAACTTACTATGACTGATCACCTAATGTGTCCTGGCCATTAGACACCTTTTGCTGCTCTGTTTTAACATAGGGTCCAAATGCTATCATGCCTAATGCTTAGCACACAGGGTTTAGAGGTCTGGGTTTGAGACCTGGTAGGGTCATTGTGTGGTGATCTTGGGTAAGACATCTACTCTGATTTACGTTTCCTCTCTCCACCTGGGAGTATGAAACGGTAGCACTAACTGTTAGGGATAGACTGACATCCAAGGGGAAGAGGGATACCCCAGGTCACTTAATGCCATAGAAACCAGGATAAGTTCTACTTGGCTCTACCCAGGCTGTAGCCTGGTCAGATAAACCCTTTATAACCTAAAATCAGTATGCAAGTTCTCTATAGTATTCTCTATACATTTCCTCTTCTACTTACATGTACAAGGAGAATTTGTCCAATAGTCCAGAGCTTCTTGAGTTTGTGATCATTTTTCTTTATTCTCATGACCTTAATGTTTGATTCAGAGGGGATACTGTTGGGAGAAATAAGATGCTTATCATGCTCAGGTTAAAGGATTAAAAAGGCTACTTTTAGGAACTTTATCATCTGACTCTAGTCCAAATTATTGATACTGACATAAAACTTTGTTTTATTTGCTTTACCTCAGGTTACTATATTGGCCTAGGGCTAATTTCACCTAAGCTCCGTTTATTTGATCCAGCCAGAGGAGGAGGTGCAGCAAATGCACTACTGCTGGTTTGCTTAGGTATTGCTCTTGTTGGTGTCATTACTGCAAGATATTGGTCTTGGAATAAATGGTAAGCTTATGCAAGAATGGAAACTACATGACTGTATATCCTCTTTGTTATAGCTAGACTGTTTGGACATTAAACTTTCAATGAAATGGGAATGGACTGTTGGCCTATTCATGATAATAGGAAGCTTAGGCAGTCAAGATGGTAAAGTAGAAGAAGGCATCAGTCCAAAACGATTTATGTTTCATCTAGAGTTTGGCCAATGGCTGGATGGGTTAACTATCTCTAACCATGCCTGACCTGAACTTATTTACTCTTGACTGACAAAGGGCTAATACTTGAAACCTCAACTATAGAATCTCTCCACAATGACCAACTCATATTATAAAGTCAGTTGATTAACCCAAATTATCTTGTTATGCCCTGGACCAGTGCAATACCATGATTTCTTTAGAAACTTACCCCTTAATGACTTTTAGAACTCAGCTTAAGCAGCCTTTAGTTCAAAATAGAAACTTATAATAAATAATTTGCTTTTTGAGTTCTTGTTCTCAAATTTTCTTGAGTTGTAGAGTATTGCTGGAAAATGTATGTAAGTGAGTTTTAAAATGCACATGATGCTAATTATGCTCCTCTATTGTTTCACTGCTATCTCCTTGTTCTCATCCTGTGTGCTCAAGTACAAGCTTTACATCAGTTAATTACCAAGACAAGCTGTTCAATTCATTGTGATTGTGTGCTTTAAAAACTTATGGTGAAGGAGAGAGTTGATTGTGATTCCTTACCAGTTACGATTAATAATTATTACACTGTAACTGGTAAATGCAACACTTTGTTTTGAAATCATTGGATTTAATCATTCTGTATCATCATCATCTTTTCACTATAAATGATAACCATGTAATAGATCTTTATTATGGACATTTAGTACTAGTAAGTGGCAGTATTGTTGTGCATGAAAAGCTCTTTTGTGGCTACATAGACTGTGATTTCAGAGAGCCCCTTTATTTTAACTTGCTAATCCAAGGTGGATTAACTATTAAACCCCCATGAGTGACCAAGACAGAATTTCTCCTAACAATATCAATACAA